GGTGCTTTAAATTTTGGTCGGTCTTGACTACACGAAGCATGTCCGCATAGCTGCAACCACCCATGCCTGAAATCGCGATTGCGTCACTTCTGGGTCGTTTTTGCATGGGCTTGCGTCCTTTAACGAGTGTCCAGTTCGGGTTTCTCTGTCGACCTACCTAATTTGAATTTTCAGCTGTAGTCCGTAGAGCCATTGCTTCTTTTGGGTTCGCTGCGCCTTTTTTGGGCCTCGGCTTTTTTGTTTTTTTTTCCTCTGATTGGTGGAAATTTTCCTCGACCGCTTGGGCGTATTGCTACCTGAGATCGCGCTAGTGCTCGCTTTCTCCACTACTTTCTGGAGCGGCATGGTCTGCACCTCGCAGTTTTTAACCGGTCGGTTGCAGAGCTTTTCGGCCGTCTTATGGAGATTGACCAGCCTAGCCAGCTCCTCTCTCATTAGGGCATTAATATGCCGCTGACTTCCAAATAAGGCAGTCAAGCCCTCTTGAGTAACTCCTATTTGGGCTAACGCTTCTTTTAGTGAGTTGGGTGCCTGGCACTCAGCCACTCGGGACTGACGACGGCTGCGGCAGCGCCCTCTGTTGTTGCTGCGGTGATCGCTGCAACGAGGAACGACGCGCGAAAGCTTGCAGCTCGTCCTCCATCCTGGCATCCACTTTTGGCCTTGACTACACGACGTGAAGCCTGTAGTGGGCAATGGCTACTAATATAATTTGAGTTTACAGTATCTTAAACTCAGCTTAACTACAGCAAGAGCCCGAAGGTATGCACTACTTTTAGTAACTGCGTCTTCACTCCAGATATTAGGTTGCTGTCTTTGCTAAGACTTAGCAGCTCACCAAAGTTAGTGAGCAGCTGATTGTCAGCTGCAATTTCCAGCACTACTAACAGCTGTTAGAGTGAATGCACCCATTTTCAATGGGAAATCAGGGTATAATGGCTTTGTTGAAATGTATGTAACAGGCAGAAGGGGGCATGGCAGACCCGACAAAGTATATATATTCTTGATCCGGGCGACGAGCTGAGTTGATTTGGCCCTGTCCGTCTGTCTGTCCGTCTGTCCGTCCGTCCGTCTGTCCGTCTGTCCGTATGTATGAACGCGTCGATTTCAGAAGATATAAGAGCTAGAGACTTCAAATTTTTTTAAAAATGTCCGTAATTACAGCGCGCATATCAAGTTTATCATTAAAAATCGATAACTCATCTCGATCTTTTTTTATCGATAAAAACCTTATCGAAAACCAGTTATAAAATTATATCTCTTACACCTTTATTGCTAGAGTCTCCAAATTTTTTATGTATGAATGCAATTTATGCAATTTCGGTTTTTGTTAGAATTTACCCCCCACCCCTATATCCACCCCTCACCGACATGTTTGTAAAAAGCGTATTTCAAATACTAGAGACTTGTGCTTGGGCAAATATATGCATACCCATGTTGTTATCATAATCTAAAAGTTTCATGAAGATCGTATGTCCACAAAAAATGTTATTAAGAAATTAAGTTCTTATAGTAAGCGCACACTGCAGCCCATGCGTGTTTATGCGTGGGTGCTTGTGTGTATCTGTGTGTGTATGTGTGTGCGTGCGTGCGTGTGTGTGTGTGAGTGTGTATGTATGTGTGTGTATGTATGCCTGTGCGTGCGGCGTGTGTGTGTGTGTGTGTGTGTGTGTGTGTGAGTGTGTGTGTATGTATGTGTATGTATGTGTGTGTATGTATGCCTGTGCGTGCGTGTGTGTGTGTTTTTTTTTATATTCATTTATTGACAAAATAAAAATTGCAAGTTGTGTGGTGGCTAGGATAGCGCGCGGTGCTTGCGGGACGGCCGTAAAGCATTGCTTCGCAAGCACTATGCGCTACCTTAGCCTGGGACAGCTCGTCTTCTCAGTCGCTCGACTCTGCGGAGCTCCATCATCACTGTGGCCGCGAAGGTGCTTGTTAGTTCCCAAGCTTCCTCCGATTCCAGCATGGCGTTGACTAAGTTGTCCGCTCTGATGGAGCGGCCCACTGCCTCTTCCAGACGACGCCTCTCCTCCAGGAACCGTCCACATTCGAAAAGAATGTGGTTGGCGTCTTCCACATGCCCTCGCTCGCACCAGGGGCACTCGTCAGATTCCTCGTGGCCAAAGCGCTTCAAATAGCTCCGAAAGCATCCATGACCCGAGAGGATCTGCGTAAGGTAGAAGTTAACCTCGCCATGTTTGCGGTTAACCCATGGTTCAAGCTCCGGGATGAGCTTGTGCGTCCACCGCCCTTTAGCTGAGCTATTCCACCTTCTTTGCCATCGTGCGATGCTGTTCGCCCTGACAGCGTTGAGTCGCGTAGGCCCGTGCGAATTCCGCTCCACGGCTTCGGCGACCAAATACTCCAGTGGCACCATACCGGCTATGACGAGCGCCGCGTCATCGGAGATAGTCCTGAAAGCGCAGCTGACTCTGATTGCGCTCAGCCTGTAGATCGCGCAAATGCCTCGGCTGTAGCTCGGCGTTGCCATCGCTCTTGCCCATATTGGCGCAGCATAGAGGATGACAGACCTAATGACGCTCATTAGGAGGAGACGTCGTTGCTGTTTAGGTCCCCGCGTGTTAAGCATGATTCTCGAGAGAGCTCTACAAGAATCAGCTGCCTTTTTATGCACATATTCTAAGTGCTCGCGGAAAGTTAATCTTGTGTCTATCATGACACCAAGATATCTTATCGCCCTCTTTGACGCAATGGTGACGCTGCCGATCTTTACATTGGCAGTTTCCACTCTTTTGCGACTGCTGACTAGTACCACTTCGGTCTTGTGTGCCGCTAGCTCGAGCCCAGCTCCTGTCAACCAGCTTCGTATGCGATTGATACTTTCGCTGCACATATCCTCTGTATCTTTGAGCTCCTTTCCTATGGCTACGACAGCTACATCATCAGCAAAGCCAATGGTGTGCGCGCCTGCTGGTAGTTCCAAGCGCAGTACGCCGTCGTACATGATGTTCCATAGGAGAGGCCCCAGCACTGAGCCTTGGGGTACTCCAGCTGACACTGTATGAGTTTGGGGACCCTCACTCGTGTTGTATACCAGTGTTCTTCCTCTGAAGTAGCTCTTTATTATCTCTCTTAGATATTTAGGGATATTATATTGTGACAGCGCATTCAGTATCATATCCCAACTAGCTGTGTTGAAGGCATTCCTTACATCCAGGGTCGCGATGATACAGTATTCCTTCGTCCCGTGCCTCCATCTGGTGCCTTGAATAGCGGAAGTGGCCAGACCAACAACTTTGTTAAGCGCGTCCGTTGTTGACCGGGCCTTCCGGAATCCAAATTGGTTTGGTGACAGGCCTCCGGCGCTTGCAATCGCAGTCTCCAGCCTAGAGCAGATCAGTTTCTCAAACACCTTTCCCATGGTGTCTAAGAGACAGATCGGTCTGTACGAAGATGGCTCATCTGGTGGTTTGCCAGCCTTGGGTAGCAATACCAGATTCTGGGCTTTCCATTTTGCCGGGAACGTCTCTTGGATCAGGCATTCGTTAAATAATTCGGCGAACGTACTTGGGTGCAAGGCGAGGGCTAGCTTTAGCGCACGATTTGGGATCCCGTCCGGCCCCGGAGCTGTGTTGGTTCTAAGACCTCGGAGAACTACTGATATTTCTTCCTCTGTAACTAAAACAATTTCAGCAATTTCAGTGCTCGTTGAGCCCTGATCAGCAGACTCGGACTCAGGGGCGTGAATGGAGCTTAAACTGTGTGTGTGTGTGTGTGTGTGTGTGTGTGTGTGTGTGCGTGTTTCTTGTGTAAGCTGAAAGACGCGAACAATTATTGAAATAGCTATTGCTCCAAGGGTTCAGGGGATCTCGTAGTCGAGCAGTCTCGACTAGAGCTTTCTTACTTGTTATACCCTGAACCCATTTTCAATGAGAAATCAGGGTATAATGGCTTTGTTGAAATGTATGTAACAGGCAGAAGGAGGCGAGGCAGACCCCACAAAGTATATATATTCTTGATCAGGGCGACGAGCTGAGTTGATTTGGCCCTCTCCGTCTGTCCGTCCGTCCGTCTGTCCGTCTGTCCGTATATATGAACGCGTCGATTTCAGAAGATATAAAAGCTAGAGACTTCAAATTTTTTTTTAAATGACCGTAATTACAGCGCGCATATCAAATTTATCATTAAAAATCGATAACTCATCCCGATCTTTTTTATCGATAAAAACCCTTATCGAAAACCATTTATAAAATTATATCTTCTACACCTTTATTGCTAGAGTCTCCAAATTTTTAATGTATGCTTATATGCAATTTATACAATTTCGGTTTTTGTTAAAATTTACCCCCCACCCTTAAATTCACCCCCTCACCCTCACTTTTGTAAAAAGCGCATTTCAAAAACTAGAGACTTGTGCTTTGGCAATTACATGCATATCCTTGTTATAATCATAATCTAAAAGTGTATGTATGTGTTTGTGTATGTGTGTGTGTATGTGTGTGTGTGTATGCGTTTGTGTATGTATGCGTGTGTGTGTGTATGTGTGTCTGTATGCGTGTGTGTGTATGTATGCCTGTGTGTGCGTACGTGCGTGTGTGTGTGTGTGTGTGCGCGTTTCTTGTGTAAGCTGAAAGTCGCGAAAAAGTATTGAAATATCTATTGCTCCAAGGGTTCAGGGGATCTCGCAGTCGAGCAGTCTCGACTAGAGCTTTCTTACTTGTTTTTATTTTGCTAGTGGTGCATATTCAAGTTATATTTAATTGAAGTATTAAACCAGAAACTACAAACATACATATGTATGTACATATTTACTATGTATGGAGTAACAAAGACAATTGGTTAGGGGAGGAGAATGGCAATGGTTGGTTCTGAACGCGAATTTAGCCTTTTCAGTCGCGTGTGGCGCCAGACGGATGGGAAGAAGCGAAAAAAATCCTATTATACAATCACTGTCGACTATCGTCCTTGCATTTGGGCCTAGTTTTTGAACCGCAGAATATAATATTAAGGGGAAGTGTGGGCTTAGTGCATATTACCTCATTGTGCACACGTCTCCAAGTCAGCCAAGTAGGTAAAACGGCCATGTCGCCATCGTACTGCGCTCGATACCACGCCAACGTACCGTTATAATTAAATCGTTGTAGTCACGCAATCCTGTTCCAGAGTTTGAGTCATGGTCGCCATCTTGCTTTTTTTATCACTGAGAAAATATAACAATAAAAAAAACTAAGATAAGTAAGAGTGCTCTTGTAAGAGAGCTCGACCAGGAGCTACACAAATTTTGGCTTTTATATACAAAAATGTACGTACGCATCCATACACATACGTTCTAGACTATCTTAACCCCTATTTGCTAAAGCACAAATATCTAATAGTTCATTTTTATTTTTCGAATTTGTTTTAGCGCCAAAGATAGAAAAAATCTATATGCATTACTGTGTGTATACAAGAATTTAAGTTACAAATAAATAGTTTATGGGTATACATTTAAAATTGTATGCTCGAGATCGATGCGTTCGTTTAGATGGACAGACGGACAGGTCTAGATCGACTCAGATAATCGTCCTGATCAAAAATATATACAGTTTATGGCGTTACTGAATTTAAATAAATAAAATAAATATATAGCGACCGATCTAGACTAGATTATACTGCTTATATAAGGCCTTAAAATTGCAATGTAGATATTATAGATATATAAAGGAAACTGTTGTGGTATACTCGAAAATACATTTAAAACTTCAAGTCTCAAACTTCTTTTACTATTTATTTTATTATTTGGTTTTTGGCTTCAGTTCCAGGAACATTTCCAACAATTTCTACATTCTTCAACCTTAAACTTAACTTAATTATTCATTTATTAATCAGCATAAATGAAGCCATTAGTTTCTTGGATTTATGAAATCTTTGCTTAACGAGTTTAAAGGCCCCTTCGTTACGACAGATCTTAGGAAATTGTTTAATTTACCGGTCTTTATGTTCTTTATGGCCAGATGATAAAGTCGTAACCTAATTGGATAACGAGGTTGGTGACAACTTTTAAAATTTTTTCGTTACTTATTTCAGTTTTCTTACCCTGTCAGTTTCCTATTGTAAAATAAATAAATAATTCCGTGTCATTTCGTCAGAACAAATAAATATTAAAAATACAGAATTGAAAAAATAACAAGTAAGAAGACTCTAGTCGAGACTGCTGGACTAGGAGATACCCTGAACCCTCCAATCTGATATTCTAATCACTCTGCACATCATTTAAGCACACATACTTATATAAGCACGTATTAGAAAGCGCTCTGCTAGCTGCGCTGTAAGCAGCGACTGCACTTGGGCTGCGCTGCAGTGCACTATGGGCGATTTTTCGATTTTGGCGGCATAAAGTCTAACAAGTAAGAACGTTGCAGTCGGGCGATACCGATTGCAGAAGACTCATTCACAGCCCAAACGCTATCAACCATAGTATATACTCCAATTTTCAAGTCTAGTGCGGCTTGATGACATTAAAATTGGAAAATCATCGATAGCTTTTGCATACAAATTACATACATATATAATTTATACAATTTTGATATATATTTATATCCATATATTGGATACCGGCTTCAAGCTAACAGCAGATCAGTGCGATTTTCCTATGCATGTGCACACACTCATCGTCTATTCTATGCGTACAGACAGAAGCGCGCCTTTTCTTACATTCTTAGAATTTCGATTGAATTGATTTCTGGACTTTCTAGCCGTTACTGTAGTTTTTTCTGATGACGCTCTCTTATTAAGCTATTCTATTTTAGCAATTTTTGTTCATACATATTTCGTTTTTTATAAAATAGATATTTTATTAGGAAGGTGCGAGCTTGATTGAATGGCACTTAATACTTTTCATTTTTTAGTCGAATAATTTTATAAGTTTAAATTTGTTTAGCCCTCAAATACATATACGCAAATACATACATATGTATATATAATTATATATGTAAGCCTGCACGCATAGCATCAAGCATTCCAGCCTTATACACGCGCTCTTTTATATGTGTGTATGTATGCACACATAAATGCGTACTCTAGCATATTCTAAGAATCTCGTTGCGTTTGTTTTGTCTTTGCACTGTGTTTGAATTTCCAGCCACCACTCTGGCTTTTCTTTGCTATGTGGCGTCATAACAATAATGTGATTTCGTTTTAACTACCGTTGATCGAATCGACGCGGTGGTGCTGTAGGCTGAAGAGCCGGCGATCTTAATTTTATATATTTATACCCTGAACCCATTTTCAATGGGAAATCCGGGTATAATGGTTTTGTTGAAATGTATGTAACAGGCAGAAGGAGGCGTGGCAGACCCCACAAAGTATATATATTCTTGATCAGGGCGACGAGCTGAGTTGATTTGGCCCTGTCCGTCAGTCTGTCCGTCTGTCCGCCTGTCCGTCTGTCCGTCCGTCCGTCTGTCCGTATGTATGAACGCGTCGATTTCAGAAGATATAAGAGCTAGAGACTTCAAATTTTTTTTAAACGTTCGTAATTACAGCGCGCATATCAAATTTATCATTAAAAATCAATAACTCATCCCGATCTTTTTTTATCGATAAAAAACCTTATCGAAAACCAGTTATAAAATTATATCTTCTACACCTTTATTGCTAGAGTCTCCAAATTTTTTATGTATGCCTATATGCAATTTATACAATTTCGGTTTTTGTTGAAAATTACCCCCCACCCCGAAATCAACCCCCTCACCCCCACCTTTGTTAAAAGCGTATTTCAAATACTAGAGACTTGTGCTTTGGCAAGTAAACGCATATTAGTTTCATGAAGATCGTATGTCCACAAAAAAAGTTATTAAACAATTAAGTTCTCATAGTAAGTTGACGCACGCTGCAGCCCATGCGTGTTTATGCGTGGGTGCTTGTGTGTATATGTGTTTGTGTGTGTGTGCGTGTTTCTTGTGTAAGCTGAAAGACGCGAAAAATTTTGAAATAGCTATTACTCCAAGGGTTCAGGGGATCTCGTAGTCGAGTAGTCTCGACTAGAGCTTTCTTACTTGTTTGACATGAACATGCTATTCGGCTTGGGTGCGAGTTCAAATCCCGCGGAAAACACTTTTTTGTAAATTGCAAATTTTTGTTATTTTAGCTTCTTTTATATATATTTTTTTAATTTATAAAAATGTTTCTTTTTGTATTATGAATATCTATTAAGCTTATTTATATGTACAAATGCATAAATAGATGGCTGACGCATATAAATGTCGCAATTCGGGCACTGTAAATGCCGATTGCCACGCCCCTAGTGGCTGTAGACTCCTCATTTTTAGACAGTTCTTAGAACGAGCAACCGGTTACCTAAATGCAAAATTTGAATTCTTACGCTCAAAAAATGTGAAAATTACAGGGTATTTTTCGATATGCCACGCCCCTAAAAGGGCTTAAAAATTGTTTTTGGGGCATCGATAGAGGAGGCTACCAGTAACTTAACTATCCAAATTTGAAGCTTCTAGCTCTTAAACTGTAGGATATAAACTTTTGCGGTTTGCCACGCCCCCTATGGGCGGACATATATCCGCCATAGCTTGTGATCTTGGGTGGTCGGCGCGGACCTACCTACATATTTCAGCTTTCTAGCTCTTCAACAAACATGATTTCTGGTATATCGGAAAATGCATTTTCCGATTTGCCACGCCCCTAGTGGGCGGATCGGGAAAATTTTAACACTTTATAAATCGGAGATATACACGAGTATGAGTTACAAATTTCAAGCTTCAATAGTGCCGAAATAGATTGCGTTCATACGGACAGACGGACGGACGGACAGCAAGCGGACGTTGCACAAAACCAATATACTGATTCACTTTCGTGAATGAGTATAAAAATTTTCAAGCTCTTATATCTTCTGAGATCGACGCGTTCATACATACGGACGGACGGACGGACAGACAGACGGACCAGGCTAAATCGACTTAGATCATCGCTCTGATCAAGAATATATATGTGGGGTCTGCCACGCCTCCTTCTGCCTGTTACATACTTTTAACAAAACCATTATACCCTGATTTCCCATTTTCAATGGATTCGGGGTATAAAAAGAGAAAAAACAAGTAATCAAGCTCTAGTCGATACTTCTCGACTACCAAATCCCCTGAACTCCTTCAAGAAACTGATATTGCAATAATTCCTCGCGTCTTTCTGCTTACACAAGAAACATACACACACAGACCGCACGCATAAACACACATGGGCAGCAGTGTGAGCTTACTACGAAAATGTTTCTTTCAGATCGAGATTGTAGCATTAAAATGTATTTTCCAAAGCACAAGTCTAGTATTTGAAATACGCCTTTTATAAATTTAAGGGTGGCTATAGAGGTAGGGTGAATCGCAACAAAAATCGACATTCTATAGAATACATATGAACTTACATTTAAAATTTAGCGACTCTAGCTTCAAAGATGCAGCAGATATATTTTTATACTCATTCACGAAAGTGAATTATTATAATTATTCACGAAAGTGAATTAGTATATTTGTTTTGTGCAGTGTCCGTCTTGCTGCCCGTCCGTCTGTCCGTATGAACGCAGCTTATTTCGGCGCTATTGGAGCTAGAGAAATTCGAACACATACTCATGAATATCTCCAATTTATAAAGTGTTATAATTTTCCCTATCCGCCCACTAGGGGCGTCGAAAATCGGAAAAGGAATATTCTGATATGCCAGAAATCATATTAGTTGAAGAGCTAGAAAGCTGAAATTTGGAATGTAAATCCGCGTCGGAGGAGATCACGAGCAATGGCGGATATATCTACGCCCATTGGGGACGTGGCAAATCGGATAAAACTGTATCTCCAAGAGTTTTACAGCTACAAAGCTGAAGTTTTGCACGTAAGCTAATGTTATTATTATATAATATCTAATGATTATATATTTTATATTATATGTCTACGCCCATTATGGGCGTGGCAACTCGTACCTGAAAATATAGTGACTATGGACACTATTGATGCTAGAGACCTAAAATTTTGTATATATACTCGCTATACCACCCAAAACTAAAAAGCTTCGACGGATATATTTCCGCCCACAGGGCGTGGTAACCCCTTTATCGATGGCCAAAAATTTATGCTTACGCCTCTTTAGGGGCGTGGCATATCGAAAAATACTCTATAATTTTCACAATTTTGGAGCGTAAGGATTAAAATTTTGCATTTATGGTATTGTTAGCTCGTTCTAAGAACTAATCAAAAATTAAATGTCTACGCTCATTAGGGGCGTGGTAAATAGCGAAAAACTGAATTTTCTGCAGCATTAGAGTGAAACTTAGCTACTTAATTGCTGATGGAACTGCCCAACGCCCAACTGCAACGTTCTTACTTGTTATACCCTGAACCCATTGAAAATGGGAGATCAGGGTATAATTATTTTGTGAAAAAGTATGTAACGGGCAGAAGGAGACGTGGCAGAGCCCATAAAGTGTATATATTCTTGATCAGCACGACGAGCTGAATTGATATAGCCCTGTCCGTCTGTCGCTCCGTCCGTGCGTCGATCTCAGAAGTTATAAGAGCTAGAGAAATTTGGTGTGCATACTCGTGTATACCACACGCAGTACAAGTTTATCATATTTTGTCGATAAGTCATCCGATAACTTTTTTATCGAGAATAATTAAAAATTTTATTTCGTTTTTTCAGCTTAATTTGAACACTTTTAGAGACTTCACATTAATTGTGCAAAATACATATAATGAAAATTTACAGATTTTGGATACCACGCCCCTCTCGCCACCAATGTGTAAAAAACGCATTTCAAGTACTAGAGACTTGTGCTTGGAATATACACACATTTTAACCATATGTTCACGCTCTGAAAGTTTCACGAAGATAGTCTATCTACACAAGAAACTACTCAACAACTAAATTCTCATAATATTCCACACACTGCAGCGCAGCTGAAGCGCGAGTGAGAGATGCACAGTATAAGCAATGAAGAATGTTTCCGTCCCATACCCACTCACAGAAAGGACTGCGCAATACCGTGCAATGTCCGTCCGTCTGTCCATGAGAACACAGTTTATTTCCGCGTTATTGAAACTAGAGACTTAAAATTTGGAACACATACTCAAGTATATCTCCGATTTAAAAAGTGTTAAAATTTCCCGATCCGCCCACTAGGGGCGTGGCATATAATCATCATAATCATCATAATATGTAGGTCATATGCTGAAAGTTTCATTAAATTCCGTTAAGTCAAAAAATAATACAAAATAATAAAATATTTGGCCAATTAACAAAGGCACGTGCAGCAGCTACAACAGTATCGTATACGTGTGCACACATACATTCAAACTTCTTCTAGAACATTCTTTGAATCACATCAGCTGTTAGTTTGGTGTAGTTCTGCTAGGGGCGCTGCAGCAGTGAATCTATTTCAGTTTTGACAGCGCAGCTTCCAAATGAGTAGCGGCGTGGCGCTCGAGAAGTCGCGGGTTCGAATCCCGAGCGGCGCAACTAATTTTAATTCTTTTAATTGTTTCAAAATATGTCTATATTTAATTAAAGGAGTTTTTATACCCTGAACCCATTTTCAATGGGAAATCCGGGTGTAATGGTTTTGTTGAAATGTATGTAACAGGCAGAAGGAGGCCTGGCAGACCCCACAAAGTATAGATAAGGGTGACGAGCTGAGTCGATTTCGCGCTGTCCATCTGTTTTTCCGTCCGTTTGTCCGTATGTATGAACGCGTCGATTTCAGAAGATATAAGAGCTAGAGACTTCAATTTTTTTTAAATGTCCGTATTTACAGTGCGGATATCGAGCTTATCATTAAAAATCGATAAGTCATTCCGATATTTTTATCGATAAAAAACCTTATCGAAAACCAGTTATAAAATTATATTCTCTACACCTTTATGCTAGTCTCCAAATTTTTAATGTATGCTTATATGCAATTTATTCAATTTCGGTTTTTGTTAAAATTTACCCTCCACCTCTATATCCACCCCCACACCCTCACTCTTGTAAAAGGCGTATTTCAAATACTAGAGACTTGTGCTTTGGCAAATACATGCAAATCCATGTGTGTGTGTGTGCGTGTTTCTTGTGTAAGCTGAAAGACGCGAAAAATCATTGAAATAGCTATTGCTCCAAGGGTTCAGGGGATCTCGTAGTCGAGCAGTCTCGACTAGAGCTTTCTTACTTGTTTTCCTTGAAGTCTGTATGCGAGAATAACCAAAACAAGCATGTACACTCGCTCTCTCTCTCTCTCTGAACATCAGACTTGGTTTCTTTTTGTTTTCGGTTTCTGTCGAGTACCGATTCAGTTGAGCTGTTCGTGAGACGCTCTCTTGTTGAGCATCGCACAAAGAGAGATACGAGTGATTGATTGCCTGATAATTGTACTCCGCACACCTTACACACTGATTTACGTGTCACTGAATTAAAGTTACAAAATTGATGCACTTTTTTATTGAGTACACGTCTCATCGTCAATTGCTTACTCGAGTCACAATGAAAAGTGAAGCGTACAACTCACAGAATTTCAGATACACACATACATGAGCAAAAGACTTTTTGCATCGTTGTTCAGCACCAAATGGTCTGTGATCGAGACGAGCAATAGAGAACGAAAAAAAACGGTCTTCGGCTGAGAGCGAGGAAAATTCTAATAAGAGCAACTCAATCGAATCGGTTGCTATGGGACTTTTTGCTCAAAGTGTGAATGACAAACTCTTATATTGCGACCGCACGAAACGGTCAAGTCGGATGCCAGTATAGCTAATTGGGAATGATATTTTATTTTTATACCCTGAACCCATTTTCAATGGGAAATCAGGGTATAATGGTTTTGTTGAAATGTATTTAACAGGTAGAAGGAGGCGTGGCAGACCTCACAAAGTATATATATTGTTGATCAGGGCGACGAGCTGAGTCGATTTGGCCCTGTCCGTCTATCTGTCCGTATGTATGAACGCGTCGATTTAAATGTCCGTATATAGAGTGCGGATATCGAGTTTATCACAAAAAATCGATAAAAGCTTTATCGAAAATCAGTTATAAAATTATATCTCTTACATCTGTGAAGCTAGAGTCTTCGAATTTTATATGTATACTTATATGCATTTTATACAATTTCGGTTTTTGTTAAAATTTATGAATATACATTAGATGTGCCAAAGCACAAGTCTCTTGTATTTGAATCACCTTTTACAAATACGTGGGTGAGGGGGTGAACATGGGGGTGGGGGGTGACAAAATTCGAAATTCTTTAAAGTATATATGAATCTATATTTAAAAATTTAGCTTTAAAGGTGTAGCAGATATAAATTTATTACTGGTTTTCGATAATGCTGTTAATCGATAACAAATTAACGGGACAAGTCATAGATTTTGGGAGAAAAACTTAACATGCGCGTGGTATACACAGACCTAGGACAGACAGACGGACAGGACCAAATCGACTCAGCTCGTCGCCTTGATCAAGAATATATATACTTTGTGAGGTCTGCCATGCCTCCTTCTATCTGTTACATACAGTTCAACAAAACCAGAATATCCTGATTTTCAATTTTCAATTGGTTCAGGGTATAAAAATAAAAGAGAAGGGAAGAAAAGAAGAATTAAAATGGAATATAAGATAGATAGGATTGAGAATTCACTGTACAACACTGGCGACGAAAAGTATACCAGTGCTTATGCCTGGACACTGAGAGTCATTTCCCTAAGGTGAGCTGTCATTGACAAGGGAAGTAAATTCAAATAAATTAGAGGACGTTGATCGATTCTCAACATTATCTTGTAAATTTATGAGTTATCTGAGTCTTAAGTTTATGTTTGTATATACATATATCAGTAGCACTAGCAGTAGCAGTACACCCTAGTATTTCTGTACTTGCTTTACTTTTAGCTCTCGCGCTTCGCTGAAATAGGCATATTTTCTAGATTTCAACCGGTATACTTACATAACGTCGCAGAGGGGTATGAAACGATGTCGATGGCGATAAGGATGAGGTCGATTAGTACCTTTCGTAGGTTGACCATTTTGTGTACATAATGTAAACAGGGCAACATTGATATCGGCTTTAGGTGCTGTCGTTTTTTTTTACATGTAGCGAACGATTAGCACCTGAGCTTGTTTCGCTGCTGATATTGCCTTGAATTTTATATGTTTGTGGATTTGGCATACAAAAATTCAATGGCTGGGGATCTGGTACATGATCGTCGAGGAATGATGAATTTTGTTGTTGCTGCACTGCCATTGTGTAAAAATTGGCACACTAATTGGTCCTGGGGTGAAAAAAGTGAACGTTTATTGTAATAATATGTGTTTGTGTAAATTCATTATTTTTTCAAATACATAGTATATGGTTACGTACATCGATATGAGTGTGTATGTGTACTGGGATCTGATTTCTGAAACCACGCGAAACTTCTTGCTTGCGGTTAGTTCAATAGAAACCACTGCTTCTTCTTCTTGCTAGCGATTAAATAAATTATGCATAGAGACTTCTATTTTATGGTATTAGGTAATGGCTCTGTAACAACATTACAAAGTTCGCCGCTCTAGTCGATTGATCTAGCTCGACGACGAGCTGCGTCGATTCCGTCGATTTCGATTAAAAAATCGATATATATTCAATACCAAAGTTTTGATATTAAATTAAATGTGATTCGTTGAGATTTTCTAGAGCAGGATATGCATACATATATAATTAATATGAAAGTGAAAGTAATGTGAAGGTGAGCATGAAAATTTTGATTTGGGTAAGCTAGATAGTAACTATGGTAAGTATGGGGACACCACTTATGGGTATTTGGAAGAAGAGAAAAAATATGTAAATGTATGTAGTTAGATTTCAGTCAAGCCCAATGTAATGTTTCTTAATTTTTTATTAGGAAGTCAAGAAGAATGTGATGTGTCCCAGAAAAAATGTGTATCCACTATTTCAATTTATTTTCAATTTTCTATATACATATGTATATAAATATGTATGTATATACATATATGTAGGTATGTATATATTGCAGTTCTATAATTTGTGGAGAATATTTCAAAAGGCGGTGTTTTGACAAAAACCGAAATTTTATAAAATGCATATACACAGGTATACATATAACATTTGGAGACTCTAGCTTCAAAGATGTAGGAGAATAATTTTCAAACTGATTTTCTATAAGGTTTTTTTTTATAAAAAAAGGGATGTGTTATCGATTATTTGTGATGAACTCTATATCCGCGCTATATATACGGACATTTAAAAAAAAAATTGAAGTCTCTAGCTCTTATATCTTCTGAAATCGACGCGTTCATACATACGAACAGACGGCCAGAGCCAAATCGACTCAGCTCGTCGCCCTGATCAAGAATATATATACTTTGTGGGGTCTGCCACGCCTCCTTCTGCCTGTTACATACATTTCAACAAAACGCTTATACCCTGATTTCCCATTTTCAATGGGTTCAGGGTATAACAATTGCTTTTAGCGTCAATGTTAAAATAGACTAAGGCCATATTTTTATACCCTGAAACCATTTTTAATGGGAAATCAGGGTATAATGGTTTTGTTAAAAGTATGTAACAGGCAGAAGGAGGCGTGGCAGATCCCACAAAGTATATATATTCTTGATCAGGGCGACGAGCTAAGTCGATTTAGCCTGGTCCGTCTGTCTGTCCGTCCGTCCGTCCGTATGTATGAACGCGTCGATCTCAGAAGATATAAGAGCTTGAAAATTTTTATACTCATTCACGAAAGTGAATCAGTATATTGGTTTTGTGCAACGTCCGCTTGCTGTCCGTCCGTCCGTCTGTCCGTATGAACGCAATCTATTTCGGCACTATTGAAGCTTGAAATTTGTAACTCATACTCGTGTATATCTCCGATTTATAAAGTGTTAAAATTTTCCCGATCCGCCCACTAGGGGCGTGGCAAATCGGAAAATGCATTTTCCGATATACCAGAAATCATGTTTGTTGAAGAGCTAGAAAGCTGAAATATGTAGGTAGGTCCGCGCCGACCACCCAAGATCACAAGCTATGGCGGATATATGTCCGCCCATAGGGGGCGTGGCAAACCGCAAAAGTTTATATCCTACAGTTTAAGAGCTAGAAGCTTCAAATTTGGATAGTTAAGTTACTGGTAGCCTCCTCTATCGATGCCCCAAAAACAATTTTTAAGCCCTTTTAGGGGCGTGGCATATCGAAAAATACCCTGTAATTTTCACATTTTTTGAGCGTAAGAATTCAAATTTTGCATTTAGGTAACCGGTTGCTCGTTCTAAGAACTGTCTAAAAATGAGGAGTCTACAGCCACTAGGGGCGTGGCAATCGGCATTTACAGTGCCCGAATTGCGACATTTATATGCGTCAGCCATCTATTTATGCATTTGTACATATAAATAAGCTTAATAGATATTCATAATACAAAAAGAAACATTTTTATAAATTAAAAAAATATATATAAAAGAAGCTAAAATAACAAAAATTTGCAATTTACAAAAAAGTGTTTTCCGCGGGATTTGAACTCGCACCCAAGCCGAATAGCATGTTCATGTCAAACAAGTAAGAAAGCTCTAGTCGAGACTACTCGACTACGAGATCCCCTGAACCCTTGGAGTAATAGCTATTTCAAAATTTTTCGCGTCTTTCAGCTTACACAAGAAACACGCACACACACACAAACACATATACACACAAGCACCCACGCATAAACACGCATGGGCTGCAGCGTGCGTCAACTTACTATGAGAACTTAATTGTTTAATAACTTTTTTTGTGGACATACGATCTTCATGAAACTAATATGCGTTTACTTGCCAAAGCACAAGTCTCTAGTATTTGAAATACGCTTTTAACAAAGGTGGGGGTGAGGGGGTTGATTTCGGGGTGGGGGGTAATTTTCAACAAAAACCGAAATTGTATAAATTGCATATAGGCATACATAAAAAATTTGGAGACTCTAGCAATAAAGGTGTAGAAGATATAATTTTATAACTGGTTTTCGATAAGGTTTTTTATCGATAAAAAAAGATCGGGATGAGTTATTGATTTTTAATGATAAATTTGATATGCGCGCTGTAATTACGAACGTTTAAAAAAAAATTTGAAGTCTCTAGCTCTTATATCTTCTGAAATCGACGCGTTCATACATACGGACAGACGGACGGACGGACAGACGGACAGGCGGACAGACGGACAGACTGACGGACAGGGCCAAATCAACTCAGCTCGTCGCCCTGATCAAGAATATATATACTTTGTGGGGTGTGCCACGCCTTCTTTTGTTTTTACATACATTTCAACAAAACCATAATACCCTGATTTCCCATTTTCAATGGGTTCAGAGTATAAACAGGTGAAAGCTGTTCTTGAGAGTATTAGCTTTAGTAACATTTATTTAAAATTTATAATTTATTTTGAGCAGAATTATTCCGAATATTATATTTTGGCACCCGCAGAACCACAGAATATTATATAATCAACTGTGAATTCTCCCAGTGCCAAGATAAAATATCAGAACATTGGTTTTATCGGGATGATCATATATTATTGACTTACCAATTGCTAATTTTCCATTCAGTTCGAACTAGTTACTGATCACAATAATTTAAATAATAGTTCAATTGGTTCACGGTCTGGATATTACATTTGATAAAAAATCTAGACACTAGCTGCCTAGAGGTGCAGAACATGTTAATCCTTTCAGCTTTGATACTTGACTGAAGTTCAAATTTGAATGTACAGCTACGTCAAGTCGACGTCAGCAGCGCCGCCAATTCGATAGCGGAAACTTCTTATATTTCTTCTAGATCTAGGCAGGTGTCATGCGCTTAGTTGTTGTCCTTGTTTTGCTGCAGGTGTAGAATGATTACCGCAGCATATGTGCATACCAGAAGGGTCACACACACTAAAGTCCGCGGAGAGTCACGAGATAGAGAGAGAGAGAGAGAGAGAGAGAGAGAGAGAGAGAGAGAGAGAGTGAGGGAGAGAGAAAGAGAGAGCGAATGAGAGCTAGAGAAAGTGGAAGAGACGAAGAGAATTAAAGAGATACATAAAGATAGAAATAGAAAGATAGATTGTTAGAGTGTATTGCTAGTGTTTTATGAATATTCTGTTGCAGTCCTATAGTCCGCTAGCTGGTTGCCAATAGCAACTTGCGTTCGATGCACAACAAACAAAAATTACGATGACGTATCCTTGACAACGGCATGTGACTAACTAAAATTGCTACTACACAAAACTTTAAAGCAATGGTAGGCAGCTACAAACACGCACGCACACCTGCCATATATACAATATATATGCACGCACACACATACATGGTATTATAAAAAGAGGGTAGTTAGGTTCTGTTTTCTACCGTCATCAGCGAATGTTGTGGCTGGCAGTGTAGCACTGAACAACTAACAACAGGCCTGTCGTCGATTTTGGCCAACCAGCAGCAACCACCAACCAAACGAAGTCGCGTTTCATCGTATTAACAATTTCCCACTTGCCATACAGATAGGCGAACCACATGCGACCACTCCCTCAATTCACATTATAGCTAACTTTCTTCATTGCGTGCAACGGCTACTTCGACTATCGCCACACCACTCAACTCCCGTTGATGTTATTAGTAGATATTCGTCTACCAAAAACACAAATGGAAATACACAGGCGTTATTTGGTAAAAACAGATTGTTGATAAAATGTCAGGGAAACTAGCAGTATGTATATTAAATTTACTTAACTGGCAGGACCGAATTCTACGACTTCTTATATATATGTGTATATACATATATAAATATAAATATATACATATATATATATATATATATATATATATATAAATATATATATATATATATATTTTTTTTTTTTTTTATTTATTTTTTTTTTTTTTATTTACATATGCATATACGATGGAAACCAGTAATATGTGCATACACACATAAAATTTACTTACAATAAGTATAATATAACAGTAACTTTGTTCTTCGGTATAGAAATCATATATATAAATAGTCTTTTCTTTACCAAATCATGAGTTAATTTATGAGTTACAACTATCAATTCTATCATAAAGTCTTCTTATACATACCTAACAATCCTAGAGGTTCTGAAAGAGGGCTACGTCGGGAATCTTATGTGATTATCAGGGACCGCAAATAAGAGTTATGAATTTAAAAAAAATTGAAGCACAAAAGAACCTCCAAGGCAGGCTAAAACGGCAAATTCAATCAAAGGATAAACTTTTATTTTCAATTTTTCGTTACAAAATTACTATTAATTATTAATTAATTTTTATGAAAACGAGTAAGAAGACTCTAGTCGAGACTGCTCGACTAGGAGATACCCTGAACCCTCTAATCTGATATTCTAAGCACTTCTTTTCGACACACATACATACACACGTACGTATTAGAACGCGCTCTGCTAACTGCGCAGTAAACAGCGACTGCGCTTGGGCTGCGCTGCAGTGTGGGCAACATTATAAGAATTTATTTGTTGAATAATTTAATTTCAAGACGTACTATCTTAATGAAACTTTCAGAGCGTAATCATATGGTGAAAATGTATCTACATTCCAAAGCACAAGTCTCTAGTACTTGAAATACGCTTTTTACAAAGGTGTGGGTGATGGGGTGGATATAGAGGTGGGGGTAAATAACAACAAAAATCGAAATTATATAAAATACATATAAATCTACATTTAAAATTTGCAAGCTATAGCTCTAAAGGTGTAGGAGATATAATTAAATAACTAGCTTTCGATAAGGTTTTTGATCGATAATAAAACTTGATATGCGCGTGATATACACGGACCTAGGAAGAAAATTCAAGTCTCTAGCTCTTATATTTTCTGTGATCGACGCGTTCATACATACGGACGGACGGACGGACAGACAGACGGACAGGGCCAAATCGACTTAGCTCGTCGCCCTGATCAAGAATATATATACTTTGTGGGGTCTACCACGCCTCCTTCTGCCTGTTACATACTTTTAACAAAACCATTATGCCCTGATTTCCCATTGAATGGGTTCAGCGTATAATAATTACAGATTTTAAAGTTGAAAAACAATATAAATTTAAATATATACATATACCGAATCATGTATATGTATATAAAAGTTATCAAAAGATATAGCGAAACAAAACATGAAATATACAACTTTTTTCTACCCACAAGTTCCAGAAATTTTAGGAGAAGGTAACAAATACAAACAAAGGAAAAAAACAAACACCAATACCGCGTGCCGTTGTCGTTGCAGCAGCAGGTGTTAAAAAAAAAAACAACGAGGGTATCGAAGTGAGGCTCACTGTTTAAAACTGTGGCCGGTGGTTGCTTAATAAGTTGGTTACGTTTAGATGTTGCTTTGGCCAACACATTTGTTTTGTAAATGTTGAAAAGGAAGGAACCTGTTTTAGGCGCGCAGATAATGTAGGCAATTTGCCACTGGTCATATGCTTTTCTCTTTTTAGGGGTGGTTAGGTTAAGATCCTGGCAGCTGCGTCGCAAATTTATTTATTATTCATGTAATACTAGTTGACCCGGCGAGCTTCGTACCGCCTAACAGTCAAAGAATGTCGTGTTACCTTTTAGCTGAACTAATTTAGGCTTTTATGAACGTAATACAATAATACAAAACAATATTAATATAGATAAAAATATAATAGTATTTTTTTTTATAATGAATGATGATGAAACCATACAGAATGAGAATAAAAACAAGTAAGAAGACTCTAGTCGAGACTGCTCGACTAGGATATACCCTGAACCCTCTAATCTGATATTCTAATCAGTCTGCACTTCTTTTCGACACACATAAATACACACGCACGTATTAGAACGCGCTCTGCTAACTGCGCAGTAAGCAGCGACTGCGCTTGGGCTGCGCTGTAGTGTGGGCAACATTATAAGAATTTATTTGTTGAATAATTTAATTTTTAGACGTACAATCTTAATGAAACTTTCAGGGGGTAATCATGTGGTGAAAAGCACAAGTCTCTAGTACTTGAAATACGCCTTGTACAAAGGTGAGGGTGAGGGGGTGGATATAGGGGTGGGGGGTAAATAACAATAAAAATCGAAATTATATAAAATACATATTTGTCTACATTTAAAATTTGCAAGCTCTAGCTCTAAAGGTGTAGGAGATATAACAAGTAAGAAAGCTCTAGTCGAGACTACTCGACTACGAGATCCCCTGAACCCTTGGAGTAATAGCTACTTCAATAATTTTTCGCGTCTTTCAGCTTACACAAGAAACACGCACACACACACACACGCACGCACGCACGCACACACAGGCATACATACACATACACACACATACATACACACATACACACACACACACATAGACAAACAATTACATACATATACACACAGAAGCATAAACACGCATGGGCGGCAGTGAGCGCTTACTATGAGAACTTAATTGCTTAATAACTTTTTTGTGGACATACGATCTTCATGAAACTTTCAGATTATGATTATGACACGGATATGCATGTAATTGCCAAAGCACAAGTGTCTAGTATTTGAAATACGCTTTTTACAAAAGTGAGGGTGAGGGGGTGAATTTAAGGGTGGGGGGTAAATTTTAACAAAAACCGAAATTGTATAAATTGCATATAGGCATACATTAAAAATTTTGACTCTAGCAATAAAGGTGTAGAAGATATAATTTTATAACTGGTTTTCGATAAGGTTTTTTATCGATAAAAAAAGATCGGGATGAGTTATCGATTTTTATACCCTGAACCCATTTTCAATGGGAAATCAGGGTATAATGGTTTTGTTGAAATGTATGTAACAGGCAGAAGGAGGCGTGGCAGACCCCACAAAGTATATATATTCTTGATCAGGGCGACGAGCTGAGTTGATTTGGCCCTGTCCGTCTGTCTGTCCGTCTGTCCGTCCGTCCGTCTGTCCGTCTGTCCGTATGTATGAACGCGTCGATTTCAGAAGATATAAGAGCTAGAGACATCAAATTTTTTTTTAAATGTTCGTAATTACAGCGCGCATATCAAGTTTATCATTAAAAATCGATAACTCATCCCGATCTTTTTTTATCGATAAAAAACCTTATCGAAAACCAGTTATAAAATTATATCTTCTACACCTTTATTGCTAGAGTCTCCAAATTTTTAATGTATGCCTATATGCAATTTATACAATTTCGGTTTTTGTTAAAATTTACCCCCCACCCTTAAATTCACCCCCTCACCCTCACTTTTGTAAAAAGCGTATTTAAAATACTAGAGACTTGGGCTTTGGCAATTACATGCATATCCATGTCATAATCATAATCTGAAAGTTTCATGAAGATCGTACGTCCACAAAAAAGTTATTAAGCAATTAAGTTCTCATAGTAAGCGCTCACTGCCGCCCATGCGTGTTTATGCTTGTGTGTGTATATGTATGTAATTGTTTGTGTATGTGTGTGTGTGTGTGTATGTGTGTATGTATGTGTGTGTATGTATGCCTGTGTGTGCGTGCGTGCGTGGGTGTGTGTGTGTGTGCGTGTTTCTTGTGTAAGCTGAAAGACGCGAAAAATTATTGAAATAGCAATTACTCCAAGGGTTCAGGGGATCTCGTAGTCGAGTAGTCTCGACTAGAGCTTTCTTACTTGTTAATGATAAACTTGATATCCGCACTGTAAATACGGACATTTAAAAAAAATTGAAGTCTCTAGCTCTTATTTCTTCTGAAATCGACGCGTTCATACATACGGACAGACGGACAGACGGACGGACGGACAGACGGACAGACAGACGGACAGGGCCAAATCAACTCAGCTCGTCGCCCTGATCAAGAATATATATACTTTGTGGGGTCTGCCACGCCTCCTTCTGCCTGTTATATACATTTCAACAAAACCATTATACCCTGATTTCCCATTGAAAATGGGTTCAGGGGGTAATCACTAACCAGAGAACACATAGACTAGACAACTAGTGGAAAGCTTTTTG